TGGCACAGGGGAAGTCTGTATGCCCCTCCATCATGGCACAGGGGAAGACTGTATGCCCCTCCATCATGGCACAGGGGAAGTCTGTATGCCCCTATGATGGCACAGGGGAAAAAAAATCACAAGAACAAAAGCTCAAAGGGAGGGAAAGAAGGGAATAAATTCTGGCTGACTTCTTACCAAGATCACCAGTCCCTTCCAGAGGTCCTAGCAGCCATTGACATTTCATCTGGGAAGTCCTATCATGTGACCCTTATTTAAACCCTCTCTCACACAATCAAAAAAAAATACAACTTCACTCATGGTCAGCCATGCCCTCAGCATGCCCAGACCCCTTTGGCACCTGCCTCTTCTCTGTCATTCCCAGGCACTCTTTCCTGTCACAGAGCCAGGTAGCAGTGGTGGTGGCTGCAGCTGCTGCCGCCTCAGGCCACAGCCCACTCCACTTCTGCCTGGCTGGTTCTAGCTCACTCCTCAGGTCTTAAATAGTGTTGCAGGTAAATATCCAACAAGCCTGTCACTCTCTACCACAAAGCTTCCTGACTCTTCTGAGAGTTCATCACTCTGTCACTACTTTACCTATTTCCTGCCTGCTCACAGGCAGACTGCTGACACAGAAGGGAGAGTGTGTCTATCTTATTCCTTATCTACACCTGGTGTATGGCTGGCACTGCCATTTGCTAAGCAGATGAACCTCAGATTTAAAGTTTGAATATCTGAGGGACCGAGGAGCACAGTAAGGGGAACAGGGCGACTGAGTGAAGATGACCACTGCTTCTGGATTTCCGTACCCCACAAATCGGTTTAATGGAACCCAATACCCAATAGCCTAAGACACGGGGACCTTTGGAAGGTGACTGGGTTATAAAGGCTCTGTCTGACGCAAGCAGCTCAAGTCTGCTCTCCTCTTCTGCCATGTGACTACACCACAGGTTGGAGCCGTTTATGCAGCACATAACAGTTAGCAGATCACCAAATCAGCTGGTGGCTTGTAGTCTTGGAATTCTCAGCCTTCAGAAGTCAGAATAAGAAAAAAAAAACCTCACTCATAAACCACCTGCTGTGATGCTAGCCCAGCCAGCCTGAGACATGCAGAAACATGGTGGTGAGTGAATGTGGGTGTGAGGTGTATCACATGAGTTTATATATCTGTCAGTTTACGTATCTGTGTGCCATGCAGAGGCCAGAGGAGGTCTTCCAATGTCTTCTTCCATGTTACTTCCTTGAGACAAAGCCTCTTAGTGAAACAGAAGCTTGCTGTGTCAGCTAGACAGAGTGACCAGTGAGCTCCTGGGATCTGCCTACCTCAGCCCTGCAATGCTGGGGATACAGGCGAATGAACGAAGGCCCCACTTTTTATGTGGGTGCTGGGGACTCATTATGCACAGCAAGTACTCTGACCCACTGAGCCATCCCCCGGCCCCTAGAGACCATGATCTGAGCACTACTCAAAACCATCATTGTTAAGGATTTTCTTTCTTTAAAACAAACAAACAAAACCCAACTGTACAATCACAATCGCTACACAATGAACAGACTTGATTAAATTAATACTGGCTGCCTGACTGTTTACTGACTGCAGTCTGTATGCTTTGTATTGTGTACAAACCCATTTTTTTTGTCTCGACCCTCCTACACAGGGCAGAGCACTGAAGAGGTCTCTAGACGGTTCTCGGGAACAGCAGGCCATTTTCCCTGTCTCACTCTTCAGGGCGCTTGTGCAGTGTTTACTAATGCCACTCGGTATCAGAGGCTCTCAACATTTCCTGAGCACCAGAATCCCTTCAAAATTACAAGAGATTGGTAAGTCTTTCAAAATCCCCAAGCCCAGGCCATATCCCAGACCAATGAGAACAGGATCTAGGGGGAAAGACCCAGAGAGCCATCAAAAAGACTGTCCCTCAGATGACTCCAATGGTTACCCAACCCACACAATCCTGTGCTGACTTTAAAGGTGAAAAAGTTGGACCTACAGAAAGGTAGCATCATACAAACACACACCAGCGGGGCTGTATACTTACTGAGTATTGCTTTCTGAACTTCTGCTTAAATCATTAAATATCCTTTATTAACGTCTTTAGTCTTTTTCTTTTTTTTTTTTCTTTTTGTTTTGTTTTGTTTTTCAAGACAGGGTTTCCCTTTCTCTGTGTAGCCCTGGCTGTCCTGGAACTCACTCTGTAGACCAGGCTGGCCTGGAACTCAGAAATCCACCTGCCTCTGCCTCCAAAGTGCTGGGATTAAAGGTGTGCGCCACCACCGCCCAGCCTTTAGTGTTTTTCTAACTCTTACTGAAATGTACTACAAATGTCACTTTGTCTCAGAATATCAAAACTGTGAAGAAAGCATATTCACTTATTGACTAAATCCTAAAACTTGGAAAATCCACCCCCGTCTACTCATTGAAATAGCCAGCTCTGCTGTGTGAACTAGCGACACACAGACACATTTAACATCTTGTAAGAAGAGCCAGTAACATGCAGCTGATTATAGATGATAAATGAACAAAGAAATAATAAGGCTGAAATTGGTAACTTAAAAATCACGTTGAAATATAACTGAAGATAGACCAGCCTAAGATCACCTGTAGTCAAAGAGGAACAAGCTGGTTCCACCCCATCTTAAGTCACAGGCACAATGAAGAGCAGCCAATGCCCTTCACTGCTGAGCCCAGCCCCAAGAAACACGTAACCCTTTACAGCGGGCATAGAATGTGTTCATGCCAACAAAGGAGTTAATTTCTCATACAATTATATATCAAATAACACTGATGTAGGAAAGCTCCCACATCATGCAGTGGAAGTCCGTATTCTTGGGGAGGACTCAATGGGAAAAAGGCTTTCTGCTAAACCTGATAGTCCCAGTCAATCCCCAGAACCCACATGGAGGAAGAAGAGAAACAATTCTAAACCACACAGCCCCTTTTAAAACAATTACAAGTAAAATAGACAGAGTCAGATAGAGGAGCGATATAGGGTAATTTCGTTACCACAGTGACTTACTAGCTATTCTGAATCAAAGTTGTTATTATCCCCATTTAACATTAAATATCACTACAAGAGCTTCCTTTACCTGCAGTGAAAGCCAAACCAACTTTCCCTGTCTGCCTTAGTGATTCTAGGTACAATTACAAAACCCAGGTGGTGTAGGTAACACTGGGAGAGTAAAAACCCTTGTCAACTTGAAGCCTGCAGGATCTCCAATGTCACAATCAAGCTCACCATGTCAGTGGCTGGCCTTTGTCCAGAACAACTAACTTCTAAAAACAAATCTGCAAGACTAGCCAGGGTGACACTGCCTATAATCTTAGCACTGAGGAGATCGAGGTGGAGAATCAGAAGTTTAAGGATATCCTTGGCTACACAGCAAGTTTAAGGCCAGCCTGGGCTACTTGAGACTGTCTCAAAAAAAAAAAAAAAAAAAAAGAAACAAAACACCAATAAAATCATTTTCTCCCTTCTAGCAGATGCTAAATTCTAATCTGGCCAATGATAGTCAGTTGATGTAATGATATTATCTTGGGTCTTGGCCTCCAACTGACATGTTTTTACCCTTTATTTTTATCCCTATGGTTAAGAAGTTTCAGAAAGCAAATGGCCGAAACCCACCAAACTTAGTTACAATGTAAAACAAAATTCATTTATGGAGACAACAATTCTGATTTGAACAGAGAAACATTAAGTTATAAAATAAATATCAGTAGATCCTAATCTTATGATACATTTTTAAATTACATGAATAATTTACATAACGAATTACATGAATAATTCATAACATAATAATTTACATTATGTTATGAATGTATTTTATGAGGTTTGTTACACTGTTTCCAAATTTGCTTTTGATATTTGCCCTCGGGCCCAGAGAGATGGCTCAGCAGTTAAAAGGGCTGGTTGCACTTGCAGAGGAGTCAAGGTTGATTCCCAGAACCCCCGTGATGACTCACAACCATCTATAACTCCAGTTCTGGCGGGGGGGGGGGGGGGGTCTAACAACCCTCTACTGGCCTCTAACACCAAGCACACATATGGTATCCAAACATAGGCATAACACACACATACACACACACACATACACACAAACACACATTTTTTAATTAAAAAGAGAATAGCCTTCATTTTTTGCCACTACCTTTCCTCAAGTGGCATGAAGCCCTTTAGAGATCAGAGGACAACTTGTAGGAGCCGGCTTTCTCTCCTACCATGTGGCTGGCTGGGAACGGAACTCAGGTTGTCAGAGTTGGGGTAATCATCAAACCATTCAGCCATCTTACTAGCCCAATAATTAGCCTTTTTAAGATTAAAAAGTTAATCCGAGCTGGTGACTCATGCCTGTAATCCCAGTACTAGAAAATAAGGCAAGGTGAGGTCAGCTTTTGGTACAAAAACGAGATCCCAGCCAATCAGGGCTTCAGTGTGTGATGAGGCGTCAACAAAGTAAATCAAGTCAAAAGTCTTCACCTGCCCTCACTGTAGCTCTGAATGAAGACAGTTCTAACCTACTGGGTTTAACTGTGAACAAAACCATATGGTGGAAATAACCAAGCCATCAGTGGGACGCACTCACTCCATATTCTGTGCTGCCTGGATAAGGTCAACGCCACGTCAGTATAATCTAATATAAAACACCTCTGGCGAGCTGACAGGAGATCAGAGAACAAGTTAAGGCTCCCAAATGTGTAACCTTGAGCAGTTAATCTTAACCTGAGGGTGCTTCGACTTCTAAACAGCCCAAAACAAGTCCTGAATGGGGATTCGGCTGTGGAGGGGAAAAGAATGGCCGCAGGGTGAGTCACTTACGAGATGTAGGCTGGGTATCCGAAACCTATCAGGTTGCAGAGGAGAGAGGCTCCATAACCGAACACCAGATACAAAGCCACCAGTCCGATGACACCTGGAGACAGGAGAGAAGCGGGTTGGGTGGCAGGGCAGATAGTCTAAAGGGACAGTCCCCGCCCACACCCACACTTCGAGGTTAGGCCTTTCCTAGGCGTTTTCCTCCTGCCTCGAATACAGGAGAGAAACAACCACAAGGAGGTCGGGCCTGCCCGTCGACCTGACGGCCTTTTGGTTGGGGACACTGGAGAGTCCTCTGCCTCTCCTCCCTGGGCAGAGCCCTCCTGAGCTGGATATTCTGAGCAGTCCCCTGCCTCAACTCCCTGGGATAGGGTCCGTCTGGGTTGAGCATACCGAGCAATCTCCTGCCTCAACCCCTTGGACAGAGCCCGCCTGGGCTGAGCATACGGTGCAACCCCGGCCTCAACACCCTAGGGAGGAGGGCTCGGTTAGGTTGGGCATAGCCGGCAGTCCCCTGCCTCTCCTTCCTCCTGGCTTGCCCTCGGTGCACCCTCCGGGAAGCCCGGCTCGGCTAGACCTGGCTCCCGCGCGCGGGCGTGGACTGTGCACGCGAGGCCCGGCTGCCCGGGTGGGGGTTCCGGGAGGTGAAGGCGAGCTTCACCCCGGTAGACACCGCGCCCAAAGCTGTGGGTCCTCGGACACTCGCGGCCGGCAGAGGCGACACGTCAGCGTCCGCGCGTCCCGCAGCCTGCGGCTCCCAGGCCCCGCTCCACGCCCGAGGAGCCTCCCGCCCGTCCTCCGTCCCTGCCCCGCGCCGCTCCCGGAGACCCGCCGCCCACCCAGCGCGATGAAGCTCCGGTTCACTCCGGTCTTGGCCTCGAGCTTGGCCAGGAGATCAGTCATGCAGTTCTTCTCGTGCAGGAAGCGGTCGAACCTCTCCCTCATGGCTGCGGACATGGCTGGGCCGTTCGCGCCGCCCGGGATGCTCCGCAGCCGGCTGGACGCGGAACCCAGCTGACCGGGGTGGGGCGGGGGCGGGCGGGGCCGCGGCGCGTGCGCGGGGTTCCCGGGCGCGCGCCCCGCGCTCGCCCCCGCCCTCTGGCTCGGTCTCCGCCCTCCCCGTGGCTCACCGCAGCTGCCACGCCCTAGCCGGCTCACAGCGCTGGGGCCCCGCTGTAAGCAGCTGGACCTGCCTGGTGCCCGCCGGTCTCTATAAAATCCAACTGGTGCACCAAAACAGAAAGGGGCGGGTGACCTTCATGCCAGCCACGGAGTAAGACTAGCTTGGTGGACAGATTGCTGTGCTAAACCTTTGAAGGCATATTTAACCTAAAAATGGAAATGTGTGACAGTCCTGAGCAAGTCTGGGTGCAGGCCTGCTTCCCTCCTGTGCCAGGACTCAGCATTGTTTTGAAAATTCCCCTGGAGAAAGCTCACATGCCCTCCTCTAGGGCACACTATTTTCAAGCAAGGCAGTTAAGCCTCCTGGTGTGCTATTGTTACCTTGAGATCTAAGGGAAGGGAAGTGTTTCCTAGCTTTACCGTGGAAGTGGCAATCTTCACTTCCCTAAACGCACAGTTACCCGGAAGAAGAGGTGGGCCCGGAGGGTAAGCGGTGGTGTCCCAGGATCTTCCACATAAACCTAGTCTCTAGTGGTCTTTTACCCGAATTTCTTCAGAACACTCTTTCTGAAATCGCCCTTTCTCCCACTCCTGCCGAGTGAGTTTTCCTCATTACATAAGACTCAAAGCCTTGGCAGTGTAGAACTCCATTTCTCACCAATGTGAGGTCCTGTGCTCAACGGGTCCCTAACATTCTTTCTTGGTCCTACACCCTCCACTTCCCGATTGAGTTATTGTGTTCCATGGGAATGAGTAGATGCCTTGCTCACTCCATATTTCTCAGCTGGGCAAGTTCCTTCTCTTTTTTCCTGGGGGTCTTAAATGAACTCTTTCAGCTGCCCCCACTAGTATCCAGTTAATCACTGAAGAAATTGAACCATAAAGTTAATAGCATTGTTATAAAGCATCCACACCCAAATGTCCATTAGCCTACAATTAATTTTCAATGTTGCAGTCAGAGGACCCAAATGTGGGTCAAAGCTAGGCATGGTTTTTGCATACCTTGTAATCCCAGCTCTTGGAAGATGAGGCAGGAGGATCAGGAGTTCAAAGACAGTCTTGATTACATAGAGACTTTGAGGCCAGCCTGAGACCCTTTTGAAAAGCAAGCAAGTAGAGCTAGAGACATGGCCCAGTGGTTAGGGGCACATACTGCTCTTGTAGAGAATGAAGTTCCGTTTCCAGCATCCAGCTTATAATTCCTGTTCCAGGGGATCCAGACCTTCTTCTGGACTCTGGACACTTGTACTCATAAGCATTTGCTCGCTTGTGCAGGGACACACACACACAAACACACACAATTAAAAATCTAAAAACAAAGAAATCTCATTGTTTTGAGAATAAAAATTTGAAAACAGCAACAACCAAACAACCCAAAAAGTGAGCCAAATTGTGCTGTCTCTGTCCTTCACCCTCTGGTGACTGCTGTTTTCTAAAGAATGGCCTCATACTGGGCAGGTGGCTCAGTCAATAAAAGTCTTGCTAGGCAAGCATGAGATAAAAAGCCCGTGTGACAGTATTCCACCACTGGTCAGGTAGATTGCTGGAGCTTGCTGGCTAGCCAGCCTAACTGAACTGGTAAGCTCCAGGTTCAGTGAGAAGCTCTGACCCTCAAAATAAGACAGAAAACTTATGAGGAAGACATGGGAAAGCAAGAGTAGACACTGACTCCTGTCTTCCACACACCCTTGTACACACAAGGCTGCCATGTGTAATACGCCTGTCTGAATGAGAAATGTTCCCCGTAGGCTCATGTATTTGAATACTTGGTTCCCACTTGGGGCTAACATTGAGTGAGAAGAATATTACCGATTTTTTTTTTCCTTTAGATACTTGCAATCAGACTGGAGAAGCATGGGGCCCTTAGCTTATGTGGTCCTCACAAACCTTTTATAGATGAGAAACTATATAAAATAGAAGAGCTCTGTTTTAGGTCTTAAACTAGCTGCCTACTTCCTTTATCCTGTGTGTTATATGTTCTGGGGCCAGACACTGTTAGCCCTGGGGACCACAAACCACACTACTGTCTAGAAAGCCAGGGAGAAGGCTTGGTCCAGGCAGGAGCAGGTTGTCTTTGGCAGTTCCTAGGAAGGAAGTCAGTTTGACACGTGCTGTCGTTACACCTCCCTCTGGGGAAGTGGAGAGAGTTTCCTGGGGTGATTGTGATGTGGGCTGGTTTTTGCAGGGTGAGAGAGTTTGAAGTCATTTGGTTCTGCATCAGGAGGAGGCAGAGCATAATTTGCTGCATAGTCTTTTGTTTTGTTTTGTTTTGTTTTGTTTTGTTTTGTTTTGTTTTGTTTTGTTTTGTTTTTTTGAGACAGGGTTTCTCTGTGTAGCCCTGGCTGTCCTGGAACTCACTCTGTAGACCAGGCTGGCCTCAAACTCAGAAACCCACCTGCCTCTGCCTCCCAAGTGCTGGGATTAAAGACGTGCGCCACCACCGCCCGGCTAGCATAGTCTTTACTGAGTATCCGCTCTCTCTGATCTGTAGGTCCTTTATTAGCACCCAGGATCTGTGAGACAACCAGCAGGAGACCCTCAGCCCACAGGGATACTTACTACTGCAAGTGTCATCCTTCTACTGGAGGAGCCTTACAATGGCTCACATCTAAAGGACAGGGGGCAAGCAAGCAACATCTGAGATGCCCCATGCTAGACTGGCTGGAGGAAAGCGGAGAGGCGGAATGCAATGCAGGAAACTTTTATCCAGAGGGTCACACACACACACAAACATGAAGGTGAGAGAAAAACTCGGACAAAGAAGGGCTCGGTGGGAGAGGTGGGAGATTAGAGAAGATACTGGGAGAACTCTGGTGTAAAATATAAATATATACGCATATATAAGGATATATGTCTACGTATATACATACATCTATATGTAGACATATATCCTTATATATGCATATATATTTATATTTTATATTATATTCATAATGTATATATACATTCTTTTACAATTTCATATGTCATGTATTATATACATATGTATGTATACATATATATGAAATTATAAAAGAATAAATACAAATTTTAAAAATTAATAATTTTTTAAAAAACTGCACATTGGTGTTCTTCCTGCTTGTATGTGTGTGTGTGAAGGTGCCAAACCCCCTGGAACTGGAGTTACAGACACTTGTGAGCTGCCGTGTGGAGGCTGGGAATTGGAAAAGCAGCCAGGGCTCTTAACCACTGAATCATCTCTTCAGCCCCAAATAAGACAGTATGAAAAGAAATAAAGCGTAGTTGAGCATGGCAGCATACTTACAACCCAGCACTCATTCCGAGGGGAGAGGCAGGAGGGTCCAAAGCTTAAGGTCATTCTCCTTGGCTACATGAATTTGAGGCTAGCCTGGGCTACATGAGGCTATCTCAGAAAGACAAGACTAGTAAGATGGTTCAGGTGGTATAGAGCTTGCCACTAGGCCTGAAGACCAGAGTTGACTTCCTGGAACACTCATAATGGTGGGAAGAGAGAAATAAGTCCCTAAACTTGCCCTCTGACCCCTACACAAGTGATATGGCCTGTATGCTCCTCTTTCATACACATCCCACTAATAAGTAAAACTTTTATAAAAAAAAATTGTAGAAATGTCCATGCTTCATCGAATACCTTTGAATGAGATTGTTTTCCTCATTTATCTGATTTTAAACATTTTTCTACTGAAACCTATAAACAAAGCTTCTTATTATATTTTCCCATTTATCAAATAGGGAATTAGATTTTAGAAAGTCAGTGCTCACAATTGAGAGCAACCCTCTAGTTTAGCTAAAGTCTCTTTATTCTAAACGGACTGCCATATGTCACGGCTAGTGCTCACAAACCCATAGATTTTTTTCAGTAGGCATGAATGTGTTCTTTACTTCATGCTCTCATTTCTTAGTCACACCCGCACGGGGACATCCAGAAAAAACAAGCCACAGGAAGGTTGTTTCTCCGGTGACCGTGACTTGCCAGTCTAGTTCTTGACAAACGCTGCATTTAGATTTCATCCTTGACTGCAGCTGTTCTCTGACCCTGGGCTATGAGTCCCACCCCCGACAACAGTCCAGATCTGCCTAAGAGTGTACTAGATGGGGTGCACTTTTGACTGTCTCCCTCCACACCTCCGGGGTGTGTGGCATATGTTTACAGGTACCTGTGGTGTAGTGCCTGTGCTGAGACCAGAGCCTCGGTGTCTATTTGTCTGTCAGTCACCCCTCATCCCTGTGGGGCAGGGTCTTATGCTTAACCTGGAATTAGGCTGCTCGTAGCAAGCCTGGGGAACTTCCCTGTCTCTGTCTCCACAGCAAGAGGGTTATGAACACTCTTGGGGCTATTCTCATCTTTTCTCCCTTCCTTCCTTCCTTCCTTTCTTCCTTCCTTCCTTCCTTCCTTCCTTCCTTCCTTTCTTCATCCCTGTCTTGTTCTTTAATTTTTAAATGTTGATACTGAGAATTTGAACTGAGGATCTCACACTTGCAAACCAACTAGTCTCACCAACTCAACCACCTGCCACTCAAACCTCTTTTCATTGAAGGGGAGAACCAGGAGTTCATTTGTGCACGTCTCTCCATGCCTAGGCATCAAGAAAATATAGTTCATAGGAACAAAGAAACTGAGCGGCGTGTCATTTTCTGTCGCTGCTGTACCAAACCATCACAAATGTGGGGACTTAACAAAATGTAAGGACATTGTCTCAGAGTTTGTGTCAGAAGTCTGAGCCAGGTCTCACTGGGCTAAAATCAAGCTCTGGTTTTCAGGGCTTGGTTCCTTGGACTCCAGGGCTGAGTCCTTAGAGAGTCAGGGAAAGGCCACTTCTTTGCTTCTTTGAGTGACTGACAGAATTCAGTTCCTGGGGTTCTAAGACTGAAGTCTCCATTTCCTTCCTCTTTTTCAGGGCTAGCAGCAGTGGGATGAATTCTCTCAGACTCAAACCTCCCTTCC